ACCACCAGGCTCTGCAGGGCCTCCACCCGAAGATGCCTGCCATCTTCCGAACCGACTCGAACTGAGAGTCGCTCATATGGGAGAAGTCGTTCCTATCGAACTTCGGAGAGGTTCAGGTAGTCTACCGGCGGTGGCGTGGATTGACTACAAGTGCTACCAAGTGTGACGGGGTCACACAGCACCTTGCGCTAGAGGAAGTTATCTTCCGAGAGTATACAAACTCTCTGTGAACGGCAGTTCCCAGGTCCCCTCTTTAGTTAAAGAGAGCGAAGTGACCTAAATAAGGTAGATTGTAAACTGAGTATATTTATAGGTAGGTTAAGTTTGGGTTTAATACAAATTATAAGTTACCTATGAAAATGCAATGTCGTTTGACCAATGGTTGGCTTTGAACGACCTTGGTACCTTGTACCAAATATCCCGGAGTATGACGTGTCATACTCCTGAAGTGTGAAGTGTCACACTTCATGTAACCAGGGTACACTTAGGGCTACGTACCCCGTTACAAGATATGTCAGAGTTCAAGATGATATATGATCCACCACAAATAGTATACCACTGCTCTCTGTGACCGAATATTTTTGCCCCGAATCAGGTAGTTACATTAAAATATTTGCTGTATTGCAAATGTATCCGTCCCTTTTCTTCGGACACCACCAGACGCGCTCACGTTCGTATTTTCTCACTTCCCGAATTCGCGCTCGTCTCTAGAACAAGTGGTGATGGCGGACGACCAGTCGGACGTCGCGCTGGTGCCTTCTTGATTCTGACAAGGCACGGAACGAGGTCCGACGAGAAGTGTACCAGTTGCTAGTGGAAGAGGCGTGAAAGAACTGCCCACGTTCACAAGCGGCAGATTCGGGTATCGAAGTCGCATGTTGTACTTCTTGTAAAAGTAATCAGCCACGCTCATCGTCTCGCCCTTGATATCCACCAAAGTCCGGTCGGCACGATCAGGACTGACACCAAAGATGGCGCGCTTGCGGTCTTTGCGGTGTGTCGGGTACACTTCTACTTTGCGTAGAGCTCGCGCCAAGCTCCGCATATCTCGCTCTGAGAGACCGTGTGCATCTGCAGGAGAGCGAACATTAAGACGCCACGTCAGAGCAAGAACGTGATGAGCGTCAAGGCCAGTGAAGCTGAGAACCCCATGACGTTGCTGCACAACCGCATGGGCCACGTAAACATGGAGACTATCAAGACTATGGCAGGAACCTATAACTTTGGCATCAACATGCAGTCGAAGAATTTTGCTCTCTATGAATGCATTCCATGCTTAGAGTCAAAGACGAAGCGCATGAGCTACAAGCGCAAGCCGTCTCGCTCTGCAAAGCCCTTGCACAAGCTTTGTGTCGACCTATGCAGTGTTGGAGTGGATACAATATCGAAATCAAACCAGTTTATCGACGAAGCTACGAGATACAAGTGGGGATATCTATTAGCCTACAAAGACGAAGCCACGGAGCTGATTCAGAAGCAGATTCGCTGGATCCAGAACCAGTTCCCGAAGGCGACCATCAAGATGCTGTTCTCCGATGGTGGTGGCGAGTTCGTCAACATGCAGCTCGAGACCTTCTGCAAGGACCTCGGCATCGACACGCGTTCATCCAATCCCTACAGCCCGCAGGAGAACGCTATCGTGGAGCGCACGAACCAGACCGTCATGCGGCAGGTCAGATCTACGTTACAAGCTACGCAAATGTCTGTTTCATTATGGGGAGAAGCCTTCCTACATGCAAATGAGACGCTCAACAAGACGCCGACGCCGGTGTTGAAGGACCAGCAGTCCCCGTACGAGGCCCTGTACGGAGAGCGGCCAGACCTCAGCGTGCTGCGCACGTGGGGGTGCTTGGTGCACGCGCACATCCCTGATGATTCTCGGCAGAGAAAGGAGAAGCTCACTCCAAGGACGCAGATGTGCTTACTACTTGGCTACAGCGAGAAGACCAAGGGCTATAAGCTGCTGAACCTGCGCACAGGATCAGTGACGACGTGCAGAGATGGAAACATGAAGGCACATGAGAAGTACACGGTGAACACTGTGTATATTGAGCAACTTCTTGCAAACACCTACGCTTACGGAGACTACGACTTACCTGCGGAGATCCCGATCGTGCCGATCCGGACGACAATGTCTACGTACCTGCAGCTTCCTGCAGATGACAGCAAACGAGCGAGTTCAAGGTAAGAATGAGATCAATCAAGATGCCGAGCAACAAGCGATTGGCGTCGCGAAGACGATCGACCAGGACAACGATTCCCAATCACCCTCTGTCTATTCCGACATGCCTCGACTGCATGGGATTGGATACG